GGCCACCGCAGCCTCGACCTGCTGGGCTTCGGTGATCCTTCCGCCTCAGCCTTCCAATTAGCTGGAACTATAGGCGCGTGCTACCATGCCTGGCTGATTTTTGATTTATTGTAGAGGTGAGGTCTCGCCAAGTTGCCCAGGCGGGTCTCGAAGCCGCGGGGTCAGGCAATCCACTCACCTCAGCCTCCCAAAGGCGCGGGTTTACAGGCTGAGTCACCGAGCCTGGCTTATTATTTTTTAATTTATATTTATTTATTTTGAGTTGGGGTCTCACTCTGTCATCCAGGTTGGGGTGCAAGTGGCACAATCACAGCTCACTGCAGCCTCAACCTCTTGGGCTCAGTTGTGTGGCTGAGAACCAGGTATGGGTCTCAGGAGCAAACAGGAGAGTGAGGTCCCTAAAGAATTAACCCTAGCTCAAGTAGGGTGTGATAGTGCCATAGAGGAGAGGAGGGTAGCAGGAAGTGCTTCATGGCTTCAGAGGGCATGTGATGAGGCTGTAATACAGAAAGTGGTATCCAGACAGTGGCCTTGGATGCAGTTCCTCCCAACCACACACTCAAGCTACTACAGCAACATGGAAAATAGAGAAAACTTATTACTCAAAATGAAAGTCAGAAACTAGGAGGAACTGCTGCTATTTATAAGACAGAGGAGCTGGATTGTGAAAAATCCATAAAGAATTTACCTCTTTAATTGGAGGACATTGCCAGGTGCAGTGGCTCAAGCCTGTAATTCCAGCACTTTGGGAAGTAGAGGTGAGAGGATTGCCTGAACCCACAGGTTCAAGACCAACCTGAACAACTTGGTGAGACCTCATCTCTACAATAAATAAAAAAGTTAGCTGGGTGTGGTGGCTCGTGCTTGTAGTTCTGGCTACTTGGAAGACTGAGGTGGAAAGGTTGCCTAAACCCAGCAGGTTGAGGCTGCGGTGGTGGTGAGCATGTCACTGCACTCCAGCCTGGGCGACAGAGTGAGACTCTGACTAAAAATAATAATAATAATAATAATAAAATAAATAAAAATATTGAGTCTGAGAGATGGTACCTCTTTTGAAGATAAAGAGAAAAAATAGTTGTGTGTGAGGTGTGGCCCACCCATATTCATTATATTATTTTTATACAACTCTGTATGAATGATATAATGTTAATAATGTTAATGAAACATTGTAGGTATTCTGAACAATATTCTCCAAACAAGAGAATGACACATCATCCTGATGACTGAAAAAAAGAGAAATCTGGAGAAATATTTACTGTAGGATTTAGAATAGATTTTAAGGAAGATTTTTGGTGACATCAGTAAAATTTTGGAATTAAGAGCAGTGTATCTTAAAGAAGAAGCTGGACACAGTGGCTCACATCTGTAATCCCAGCACTTTGGAGGGGGAGGTGAGAGGATTGCCTGAGTCCAGGATTTCAGGACCAGCCTAGGTAGAGACCTCAACTCTACAATAAATAAAAAATTTAGCCAGGCGTGGTAGCGTGCACCTGTAGTTCTGGTTACTTGGAAGGCTGAGGAGGAAGCAATGCCTGAGCCCAGCAGGTTGACGCTAGGGTGACCATGAGCATGGCGCTGCACTCCAGTCTGGGCGATGGAGTGAGACTCTGACTTAAAAAAAGAAAAAAGAAATTAATAGATATCATATTAAAAGATAATAATAGTACTATTAAAGATGTTAATTATTTATTGCCTGCCATGCTGAGTCCATTTTAAGGAACTACATCAGGTAACAGAAAACCCAACTCTACTGAGACAAAAAGGGAACTTACTGTCAGGCAATCAAAACATCCAGCGGTAGAACTAACTTCGGGAACAGTTTGATTCAAAAGTTCAAGATGTCATCAGTGTTCTTGTTTTGTTTCTTTGCTATTCCTTTTTTTTTGATTTTGGCTTCCTCCTTAAGCTGTATCTTCCTCCTGATCATGGTATTACCTGCAGCAGTTTCAGACCTCATGTCTTCAGGAGGAAGATAATCTCTTCTCATAGTTTTTCCTTAGGAGAGAGGAAACGTTTTTCCCATGTATCCCAGAAAATTTCTCCTTGACTCAAATTGGATTCTGTACCCTTCCCTTACACAGATCACTGTGGCCGGGGTAGAATTGGATTAAGCACTGAATTAAGCAAAGCTAATTGACTTAAGTCACTAATATTGTTTGGATATTTGTTCCCTCCAAATCTCATGTTGAAGTTTGATCCCTAATGTTGGAGGTTGGGCCTAATGGGGAGTGTTTGGATCATGGAGATAGATCCCTCATGGATGGCTAGTTGCAGTCTCCCACAGCAATGTGTCATTTCCCGTTCGCTTAGTTTAGGAGAGAGCTGAGTTGGTTGTTTAAAGGAGCATGGAACTCCTCCCCACTTTCTTGCTAGCTCTCTCATCATGTGACATGCCTATACTTCCTCATCCTTCTGCACTTTCTTCCCCTTCTAAGCTTTAGGAATGGAAGCTTCCTAAGGTCCTCACCAGAAGCAGATGTAGGTGCCATGCTTCTTATGCAGCCTGCAGAACCGTGAGCCAAATAATTCTGTTTTCTTTACAAATTACCCAGCCTCAGGTATTCCTTTATAGCAATGCAGAACATAACAAGACAGTCACTCAGGGACCACTCTAGGACAGGAGGAATTGTCAATTCCTTCTACACTACCAGGCTGAAAAATTAGGGACACTACTAGAAAGGAGAAAGAATGGAACAAAAGATAGAGAGGCATCCAACAAATATTCTCTCCAAGGAATCTGTCTGAAAGGGTAAACTGAGGCAAGGTGGGCTGTTGCCATGGGAATAATGCAAGATTGCAACTGAGGGGAAAGTAGAGGGAAATAAAGTTTATTATTCACCTTTCACGGATGAAAAGAGGGCCAGCACTCAGGTAAGTGAGGCACGGAAGTCTGGAAATTAGGTGTATTTAAGGGCCTTTAAGGCAAGGGGAGCTTAGACCTAGAGGAGGTCTGGGCCAAAAGGAATGTCAAGAGTTATATTCTTTGGTTTCCATAGTAGTCACATGAATCTAGTATCTTGACATCACCAGGCATCAACATCTCATGACCTGAGGTGGTGGGCTGGAGGTTGTCTTGGTTGTATGATAACACTATATCTGTAAAGTCCCACCCCACCCACTTTGGTGTGCTAGAGATCATCACTGGTGACCAATAACAATGTATCAATACAAATGCCTAAAAGATAAATTGTTAGCAAGACTGGACATGCTTAAGGGGGTCTGTGTAATCACCAGTCTCTAAAACTAAAGTGTTTTTCTTGTTAATGTATAGGGTAAAAGGATGTGTGGGCTGTGTTAGCTGTGCAGGAAGGGAATGCCAAGGGGTGAGGCCCAAGCAAAATGGTTGTGCTGATTCAAAATGGCTATATTATATCCTAAATGTCTAGGGTTCCCTCCTTTCATTGTTGAAACTCAATGTCCTGGTAACTCCCTGGCCATAGCTGAGTGGTACCTGCCTGACCCAGTATAAGACAGAGATAATTAGACCCATTCTTCTGTTTCTTATGTAGTAGTAGACTTTTTAGTATCCTACTACTACAGGCACATGGCTGCTTAGCTGAAGACTGTATTTTTTAGCTTCTTTTG